GCTCCTCCGCATCTCTGGGGGAAAGGGACACGGCGTCTCGGCCTGGGACTCAGAGAAGCCGGGGCCTGAGCGCACCCGAGGCGGTCGAACCTGCCTTGAGGGTGGCTGGGGAGGAACGAGGGTCCCCTGGAAGGTGGGGTCAGAGTGATCAGCGTTGCCGCGCCCTGCGCGCCCGGTAATGCACGCCCGCAGGGAGCGCCCGGGAGCCCCCACACTGCTCCTCCTGCACCCTCCGGTCTGGGCAACCCCGACTGGAGGAAGGTGAGTGGATGGAGAGGGTCCGGGACTCTTGGCGCCCATGTGTAACTGGATTCGGGCCCGGGCTAAGAGATTCAGGGCCCCTCGGAGAAGCCACGGGGGTCTCTGGCCACCACTCCCTCTCCCGTATGCAGCGTGATTCCCCCGCACCGGGTGTGGTGAGCCCTCTCTTGGGAACTGGTCTAAGCCAGAGACCCCCGGCTGCTTCCATCAAGGTGCACGCATGCTGCATCGGCGCAAAGGAGGGCTGATCCCGGCTGGAGACCCTCTGGCGGGTGCAGGTCCTGCCTGGAGACGGGAGGAGCCCCAGGTGGCCACAAGGAAGTGAGGTCCGGGCCGCGCCCACGGGACTCCTCCTCCTGCCGCGCAGGGCGTGTTTCCGGCAGCGCTGGCTTTGGAATGACTCAGTCCCCAAGGTTGGGCCCAGGGCCCTCCGCTGCCCTCCCCGTCTGTGATTCACCCACAGTGGGTTGTGTTTGGAGTCAGGGTTTCCCCCTGGGGACAGCCGCGCCCAGCCGTGTGCTCGGCGGCCTTTGTGGTGCTGGCCTTTTAAAAATGCCCCGGGACAAAAAATTGTTCCCTTGTTCAAAAGTTATTGCAAGCCTAAATCTCTCCAGACTGGTAAATCCCGAGCCTAACAGTGTTGGTGTACTGTAGCTACTCGAGAAATAGCTATTAAATGCAGAGTCAGAAAAGTGAGTTGGGGGAAATTGATGCTGCTCAAATGATATGGGGCCCCCTCTCCAGCGTTTACCCTGCGATGCTTCCCACCCCACACAAGAGATCGGGGGAAGGTGGCTCCTAGCCTGTCTTAAGTGCTGGGTGGACATCTGGAAACAGGTTTCTCTGTAATGGTCCCTGATCCTTTTGTTCCTTTGATTATTATTGACTCCCAACATTTTCGCCTTATATATGAATTGTCATTGTCATTTTTTTTTACCATCTTGTCCTTAATCAGTTTGTTTTCTTATTGGGATCCTCATTTTTTAAATTGTGTGAGCTTTTATATTAAAATTAGCAGCCCTCTCATTGGTTGGAAAGAAAGAGCCTTCATAGTGACATACTTTTTTTTTCTTCTTCTAATTTTTATTTTAAAATTGTGGAGTACAATTCAGAGTTTTTCAGCACCTATTGTGTGAGAGATTATGGGTCTGTGCCTGGGGAAGGGAAGAGGGCTGGGGCTCTGTTCTCCAGTGTCTGGCAACCTCATCAGTATAATCTAACAGGTAAGGAACCAGAAGACCTTTGAATGGTCTATATTTGCTGTTTCGGAATCCAAACGCTACAAACAGAAAGTGCATTGGGATTCCTGGAGCACACAGATTATTAGTTCTGGCTGTCTGAGTATATGACACCCCCCTTTTCTCACCAGTAAGAAAGGTGTACAAGGGAGAAAGGAAATTCGTTCCTCAAGAAAGCAGTATAACCTGGACCCCTAAGGCTCTGATGATCCATTAGTCCTCAAAATTATGATCCAAGTCATTAATCAAAAGTTACACTTATTCAATTATTTGCAAATATTGTGATAGTCTAAATTGGTGCCCTGGCCGTCCAGAACAGCTGTTTCTAAGGCACTCCGTTGGTAGTTTTTGGGCCACTGGGATCTATTTCAGAAATAAATGGGATGATAGACTATACATATGATGAAGAAGAAAACAGTTTTTTATTTTGTTTTTTAAAGAATGATAGCTACCATTTAATTGAACTTCATACACAAGGCACTTTGCTAGGTGCTTTGGAAACCACTAATGACTATTACCTTCGGGACATATATGTTTAGGAAAAGGGACCTTAGATTCTGCTCTTATTTATCTACCCTAACCACATTGTTTTATTCCCAGATTATCTGTGTAGATGTTGGGTCATTTATTAATCCTGACTGCTAGTTTCTGGGAGCTAGAAATTGTGATTTGCTTCCTAGAAAAAAATTTGTATAATTTTCAGGCTCATAGCTGTTTTAGGCAAACTTAAGAATCAAGAGAATTTGTATGTGAAGTCTGCACATACCTGGCTGGCTCTGTAACTTGTGTTCAGTTAAGCCAAATATTTTGGCATGCCTCTTTTCCGAATTTTGGGTATTTTTGCTTGAATTTGATTCAGAACTGTTTTGGGGAAAGCCTGGAGAAATAGATTCTTGCTTGAAAGCAACTTCATCAAGTTTGTATGGAGGATAATCATGTGCAGAAGAAGAATATATTCATCCAACCAGACATTGGCATTTCTTGACCTTTTTTCCTGCCTTTCTTGGATTTTGCAGCAAAGAGTGGCTAGTTAGACCTTAAATCACATTAGGGCAGGCTCTGAATGAAATTCATCAAACAATTGGTGATGGTTTGGAAAAATAATTCCTATACTTCTAATGTAGTCTGCTGCAGCCTCCTTCTGTCTCCACACCCAAAGGTGGAGCTAAGGGATCTGCATAATTAAAGAAGTTAGGGAAGTCGTAACGTACCATTCTCAAGAACACCATTTTGTGAATTTGTACCCACAAAACAGGCAGAAATTAGAAATCTAGAGACATAACTGTACTATATAAGACTTCGCCTTTTCAGTTGTGTTTTTTTACATTGTTTTGTTTTTACCTTATGGTGTTTTATTTCATGTCCTTCTTTACTGGACCAAATATAATATGATTTTTAACTTGTAGGGGAAGGGAATATTAGTTTAAGATTAAACCAAATTGACCAGCATTTTTTCCTTGAATAAAACCTAGACTTCAGATATAGATGTTTGTGGTTTATCTTCTTGTCCTGGTTTGTTTTGGTAAGCACTAATAAACTGGTTAAAAGGAGTCCTTTGTAACTAGAATGTTTGGTTCCTAGGGTTATAGTATCAAGGCAGTTGGTAAATAATTCAGGGAGGTTGGTGATAGGGATTTCTTGATCATTTCTGCTGGGAATTTTATCTAACATGGATTTCTTATGCAAATAATATCTAAGGAAAATTTCCTTCATGAGGAACTAAAACCGGTTCATTTAATGAACAGTGAGGGCATCATTTTGAGATAAAGGGCAAAAACCAAAGGTTAATAACCAGTATGATCTCAACTCTGGAAACCCCATCAAAAAGCACAAGAAAATATGCTTATGTCAACAGTGATTGTCTGAGTGTTGACGTTTGGGGGAGGTTCTTTTTTTGTCTTTACTTTTTTAAGAGCTTCACATGTACCACCATAGACAAATTAGTTTAATCAAAAATGTTAGCAGTTTGCAAAATCTTGTGCATTTGTGACTTGAATTGAAGTTATCCATTTCATAACCCATAAACATTTAGTAAATATCTACCATATACCTAGATTTAACATGAAAACATTTTTAATACAAATGTTTGTTTTTATTTTTCCTTCTTTTGCTTGGTTTGGGAAAAAATCAGCCACTTCACAATATTTTACAAAATACTCATGAAGACACGAATATCAATGCGCTCTACACATTGTAACTTGTTTCATCTTATCAAGTAATAATACCAACAGTGTGTAGGATTTTTGCTAAAAAGGTTGTGCTTTGTATCTTTGTATTATTTTATCAAATCTTCTAGGCTTTTGGAAATGAAACTTTAACATAACCTTTTATTTTGCCCTTCTTAGACTTCTTTTCAGGATGCCTTGTCAGCTGCAGGTGATAAACTTGTTGTAGTTGACTTCTCGGCCATGTGGTGTGGACCTTGCAAAATGATCAAGCCTTTTTTTCATGTGAGTATTAAATAACTTGTACTTTGCAGGAGATTTGTGGTTTTTGGGGTTGGTGGGCACAAAGATAGGAAAGAAAGATAAAGGGTTTTGTTAGAGGGGGTTTGGCTGAATCATTGGTCTAAAAGTACAAGCGTAACAACTTAAATAATTTAGTTTTGATACGTGTAGCCCATTGAAAACAACTTTCTGAAGTTAATTTTGTTTGTCTGTGGTTTTACTTCTTTTTTCCATGTTGAAACATAGGCTTTGTTTAAAATTCTGGCCTCAAAGTTAATGTGCCAAATTATTTTATACTAGGAAGAATTTGATTCAGAGAAAAATGTATGTCCCTTATGCTTACCTGATTCCTAGTCTAAATTTTTAGATCTTTAATGTCTTTACTTTAATTAGGTTTACATTTAAGAAACTTGAGTATGTTAACTGCCATTAGTTGACTACCTAGTTCTAAATCTTTTTGGATTTTTTTTTTTTGAAATTTTTCAGTCCCTCTCTGAAAAGTATTCCAATGTGGTATTCCTTGAAGTAGATGTGGATGACTGTCAGGTATGTAGCTGAAAATTGAAGATACTGCTGAGCTCATCATGTTTTGTTTCATTTTGTTCTCTGACTTGCACAGTGCTTTTCTTTTTATATATATAAATACGTTAAGTAGTGCTAACACTATAACTTTCTCTAAAAGGTTCTATTCCAGAGCAGCTAATTGTGCCAAGTGTGAGCTTAATCTTAAATCTCAGGAACTGCGTTCATCACATCCTAAAATAAATATAAAAACAGATGAGTGTGGCTTCTGTACCTTATCAGCCACCCATCTTTCTAATACCCTACATTTTACCTAACATTCTGAGGTGCTCAATAAAAAGAAATTGAATTGGGCCGTGATAATTAAATGCATAGACATGATGGAATCACCAAATCATGAGGGTTCTTTGTGAACTTTTAATGGCATGAGAATGTGCATTTTAGTCTTTGTTGACTTTTAGTCTATTAGAGTCCCAAATGTTTTAACGAATAAACACTGAGAAAGAGCTGAGAACAATTTGTGGGAAATTCCAAAGTTGGTTTTATTTAATGAATACTTGTTTTGCACTTGATATATACCAGGTACTAGTCTATGTGGTTTATAAGTATCAATTCCTTTAATCTTTGGTGCTATTATTATCCCCCTTTTACAGATGAGATAACTTAAACACAGAGAGGTTGTTCATGGAATTATAGCAAGTACATGGCAGAGCCACGATATAAAATGAGTTAGCCTGGCTTCCTGGCCCTTGTTTGGACAGAGGATGCTCTGTCATGTGGTGGGTGCTGTCGGGTTTCTGAGCACGTAACCTTGCCTCTCGCACAGCCCACTGACCTAGGAGACCTGTTCAGGAGGTGTCAACTCAAGGTTCTGTACACACACGAAAGCATTTTTGCTCAGCCCCAGTGTGAGGGTTGAGGAGGTTAGAGTGACAGCAGAGCCACTGAACACCTGGTTCCAATCCTGCCTAAAGCAGAAGAATCTCCCATCTTCATTAAGCCTTGGTTCTCCATCAGTGATCAGATCTTAAGACCGGCCCCATCAACCTCCCAAGGTTGCTGATTCACTGAGCAAAATGTCATGTGCCATGAAGGTACTGAAGAGTCAGGTACAACAGGTACCTGGCAGTACCGTCTAAGCATGGGAAGACCGCAGAATGCCAGATTGCGTGTCCTCGGTCTACTTTCTGATTCTGTGCCTTGGAAGACTCCTGCCTTGGCTTTGTGCTTCTTTGCCACCTGGCCCATCCTTTTCTGTCCTACCTAACTCCTAGTGAAGCCTAACTCCTAGTCACAGGCTTCACTTCTTCTCCACCAATCCTTCTCCATTTATTCCCTTTTATGCCAGACTGGGTTTGTTTTCCATCCCCTGTGTCCCCAGGATATTCTTTGCCCCCCTTTCCTCTTGCATTTATGGAGGTGAAATGAGGTGAATCCTGGACCTAGACTGCTTGCTTTACTTCCCAGTTCTGTCTCTTATTAGCAGCACAGGAGTGTTAAGTTCTTTATCTTGTGTGTGCCTCAGTTTCATCATCTGTAAAATGGCACTGTTACTCCAAGGTAGTTGTCAGGATTAAATAAGATCATTAATACTTATAAAATGCTTGGAACAGTGCCTGGCACATGGCATGTATTCAGTGAATCTTGACTATTATAGTGATCTCTTTGTGTCTATCCTCTACTATTACTCTCAGTAAGTTTCTTGGGATCAGGGACATTATCCTATTCACCTTGGTTTCCCCTTCACCTAGCATACCTGCCTGACCTGTGGTAGAGGTGTGGAATGAATGAATAAATGTATGGCTGTTAAGAAAAGTTACTGTTCTAGATGTGTCCCAAAGGTTTTTTTTTTAATGTGTAATTGTACACTTTTGTAAAAAATAAAATCCTTGTTCCCTATTTTAGTAAAACTTAGTCTTATTTTTTTCTGTAAGTATACTTTAAAAATTATTTCACTCTTTATCAACAAGGGTACCTGCATAATGAACATGAAAACAAAACAAAACAAAAAATTATTTCACTGACCCTATCAGATAACAACAGAATTTTTATTTGAAATAATGTGTGTTAGATGTCATGATGAGCCCTTTGCATATGTCATTTAGTCCTCACAGTAACTAAAAATATTTATTTGAGTCAAGATCTCACTCTGTTGCCCAGGCTGGAGTGCAGTGGCACAGTCACAGATCACCTCTGTCTCAAACTCCTGGGCTCAGGCGATCTTTCCGCCTTATCCTCATCCTCCCAAATATCTGGGACTACCCAGGTAATTTTATTTTTTATAGAGACAAGATCTCACTATGTTGCCTAGACTGGTCTTGAACTCATGGGTTCAAGTGATCCTCCTGTCTCAGCCTCCCAAAGTGCTGAGATTACAGGCGTGAACCACCATGCCCAGCCAGAATATGTATTAGTTCCCCCATTAAACAGATGGTAGGATTGCAGCACAGAAGGTGAAGTCGATCAATAAAGTCAGAGCAATGTACCCTACTGAGGACAGGGAATAAGATCATTAATACTTATAAAGTGCTTCGATTTTAAACCTCTGGGAAGTACAGTCAGTTGTTAAGTATTTAGCAGTGGGGACACACTCAGAAATGTTAAGCAATTTCATCACTGTGCAAACATCATAGAGTGTACTTATACAAACCTTGATGGTATAACCTACTACATACCTACACTGTTATATGGCCTATTGCTCCTAGGCAACAAGCCTGTACTACATGTTACTATACTGATTACTAGGCAGTTATAACACAATGGTAAGTATCTAAACATAGATGAGGTACAGTAAAAAATACTATATAAAAGATAAATGGTACACCTGTATGGGGCACTTACTATGAATGGAGCTTGCAGGACTGATTGAATGAAACTTGCAGGACTGATCATAACTCTGGTTGGGTCAGTGAGTGAGAGGTGATTGAATGTGAAAACCTAGGACATTACATCACTGTACTTTATAATCACTGTACTCTTAGACTACACTAGGCTTATTTTTAAAATTTTCTTAACCTTAGTTTACTGTAACTTTTTTACTGTATAAACTTTTAATTTTTTTGAATTTTTTAACTCTTGTTCTAACACTTAGCTTAAAACACAAACACATGGTACAGCTCTACAAAAATATTTTCTTTATAGCCTTATCCTATAAGTTTGGTTTTTTTGTTGCTGTTTTTTACTTCTAAACTTTTTTGTTAAAAACTGAGACACAAACACACATTCGCCAAGGCCTACACAGGGTCATCAGTGTCACTGTCTTCCACCTCCACATCTTGTCCCGCTCAGTCTTCAGGGGCAATAACACGCATGAGCTGTCCTCTCCTATGATAACAATGACTTCTTCCGGAATACCTGTTGAAGGGCCTGCCTGAAGCTATTTTCAGTTAACTTTTTTTAAATAGCAGGAGTACACTGTAAATTAATGATTAAAAGTATAGTATAGTAAATATGTAAACCAGTAACATAGTCATTTATTATCAGGTAATGTACTGTACATCTTTTTAGTGCCATACTTTTTTTCATTGCAGAGCAGTGGTTTTCTTTACATCAACTAATGTGTTAGGCTATGAAGTTAGCAGTCACTAGGTGACAGGAATTTTTCAGCTTCATTGTAATCTTATGAGACTGCCTTTATGTATGTATGTGGTCCCTTGTAGACCTAAATGTAGTTATGGGACGTATGACTAGATATGCAAAGTAGTCAAGGACTTCTACTCTACATGACAGAGGTTCTCCTTCATGTCTGCTTGGGGCACTTAGCATCAACTGAAAGTGTCTTTTAAAACCTTGAGGTGACTCTGACAAACTGGGAACCTTAACTTTGCCTCTGAATATTCATAGAAAAGTATGGGTAAAGTCTTATTTCTTCGGTAGCCAACAGGATCGATTACTTATTTTGTAAATTAAAACTAGAAACAAAGTAATTTAGACTCAGATATTTTGCAGACTTTGAGGATGCCATGTGTTTCAATTTTGGTTAGAAGAGCTAGGAATGAGTTAATAATTAGAAGGGACAAAGCAGACTTAAAGTTATTTAGACTCTAGGTAGTGCTAACCTTGAAACCAATGAAGTTAAATTTTAATAAGGTTAAATATAGACCTGTTATGTTTACTAATAAAAATTTGAGATCGAACAAAACTGTAAGGATGGAGAACAGATCAGGGGTTGCTGTAGGACTATGGTTTGACTACAAAGGGACAGCTGGAGAAAAGTGGGAGAGCAAGGGAACTGTTCTGTATCCTGATTGTGGTGAAACCTAGGATCAAGAATGGTTTTAAAACTACAAAGGTGAAACTACATAGAAAATTTTGAGTAGTGTGTGTACCTTTCAAATCACTACAGGAATAGGCAAACTAGTCAATGCAACAAGAAGAAGAAAACAAAAGACAAACCATGGACAGTGAAGATCAAATATAGTTATGGAAATATCAAACTTTACTGAGATCAATAAAAGATTTTTAATAGATGGGGGTATACCAAGTTCATAGATATTGACTCAAGATTATTAAAATATCAGTACTTTTATATTTTTATAGCTTTAGCCCAATCCAACCTGACATTTTTGGAAAATTGGTCATGATATTCTGAAATAGTATAGCCAGGATAGTCCTGGACATTTAAAAAAACACATATAAAATTAGCCAGGCATGGTAGCGCACGCCTGTAGTTCCAGCTACTTGGAAGGCTCAGGCGGAAGGATCGCCGGAGCCCAGCAAGTCGAGGCTGTGGTGGCCAGGAGCGGCCACTGCACTCCAGTCTGGACAACAGAGTGAGACTCCAACTCAAAAAAAATAAAATTTAATTTAATTTAATTTAAAAAATAAAAATAAAGTAAAAAAACATATACAAAAAATACAGAAGGGAGAGCTAAGTGGGAAGGGACAAACCATTAAAAATAAAGTATATGTGGTTTCTCTCACCTATGCCAACTCTGACATGTCTCTTTATTTTCTTTCTTCTTTCTCTAATAAACTTTGTTTTAAAATTTAAATAAAGTATATATTTACTGTATTAATTAAAACAGGGTGATCTTTAAAATAAGTCTTGTTCTTTCAGCAATTCTTCTAGGCCTGAGGGTTGGGGGATTTGAACCAGTGTCCAAAGATACTTGTATTTGGAGATTGAAAATGTTTTCAGTAGGCAAAAAGCAAAACCTAACTTGCATATTAGAACACTGGCTTAGTTAAAATGAGGTGCATCCATACAGTGACTGCTATGGGACCATAAAAAGTATTATGTATATTTTCATAGGGAACCATTTTATATATGTGATACCTAGTGTGTATGTGTGTTAAAGAGCATATAGCATGTGTTTTAAAAGAAAAGTATGTATTTAGGTGCATGAATAATAAAATGTTAACAGCTAGTAGAGAATGTGGATGACTTCCCTCTTCCAATTTTTCTGTATTGAATATGGATTATATTTGTATAAATTAAAAATTAAAAGTCTTCTTGAACCCAGGAATTCTACTTTAAGGATTTTACTGTAGGGGTGTGTCAGAATTTATTTGGATGGATGCACATAAACTGGAAATAACGTAAAAGTCCAGTATAGGGAATAAAATTATGGTGTGGAATCCTATGTTGCCTTTAAAAGTCACTTTTACACACAATGAAATGAGAAAATTCCTAATGCTTGGACTAAAAATTTACAATATAGAGACTTGGCTGCAGTTTTAAAAAATGAAATGTGTGAACACAATTTTTAAAAACTTAAGCATCTATCTCAAAGCATTAACACCACTTCTCTGTGAGCATTTAATGTCTTTTCTAATTTTTTTTTTTAATGGTGTGTTTCCTTGTAAATTAAGGAGTCATACAAATACAAGAATGCTGATTTCTGGCTGGGTATAGGACACCTAGACTCTGACAGCATGACTGTCTATCACTTCCATTGATTGGGACCCTGTGTATTGTGTGCTGATAAAGTCTTAGGACTCATTTAAAAGTTGTGATTACATGTCCAGGTTCTGTTGTCTCTAATACCTGCACAAGTGATGGCAGCTCAGTTCCGCCCCTTATATGTCTCTCTGATTCGAGGAAGCTGGGGAAAGGGTGGCTTGTCCTTTGTAAACCACTGCCATCCATCCTAGTTACAAAAGAAAAGAAAAACACCCTCTGCCTGTGAAGCTTATGCCAATTGTCTACATGAAAAACGATGTCTAACTGGTGATTTAAATGTGCCAAGTAAAGAGAATAGGGACTGCAGTATAAACAGGTGACTATATACCCAATCTAAAAGGGCAGATGCTCTCTCTAGTGCCATGAGGGGTAAGTCTAATATTCCCAACATTTGTTTTCAAGAGATATTTGCTAGTGGGCAACTAATTCAACGGTTGGTTTTTTTTTAATTAGTTTAAACTCTTGAGTGGACCAAGTAACATATCTAGAATTAGTTTAAGCTCTTGAGTGGACCAAGCAGGATTTCTGGACCAGGTTCAGCTCCATAGACTGCCACTTTCAAATCTCTTAGCCACACTAGTCCCTCTGCCCCTCTAGTTTGTCATCCCGATTGACTACTCATCCACAAGTCATCCAGGTCCTTGACACATGTAGTTCATGGTCTTCCTGTCAGCTCTTGACCCCATTTCCAGTCTCCTTCAGGGGAGTCTGTGGAACTGTAAATTGGTTGTGCAGTTAAAAGTTTATGACCCTCATTTGCATGGATTCCTCACATGTCCCTGGTAAACTTTGAGTTGAGTGTTCAATGCCTGAAACACAGAAGGGGTTCAATAAATGTTCACCATTTTTATTCCAGCCATTACTGTCTTTGTGCCTCTTACTGGAGCCTGTACTTTTATGTTCAACTGGTTGTCCAGCATTAAAAGAAAAAGTAAAATTATCCGACTAGAACTCTTTAGCACCCTCCTGAAATCACCACTGTTTATAGCCGGCCTCCCTTTCCCTTGAGAGTTCTCCTTTGGGTTCTGTGATCTGGTTCCCAGTAGTTCTGCCTACTCATTTGCTGTCTTTTGCAGCTTTTGCTGCCCAGGTGTCTCCAGGTGGCAAGTGGCTCTGCGTTTCTTTCCTACTCCTTTTTTGAGTGCCGGACTGATGTTTTCAATCCCTAGTAGACCTTTTTACCTGAAATGCTTGTCCAAACCAAAGCAATTTTGTAGTATCTTCCTCCAAACCTTGTCTTCTTACAGTGTGAATAGCATGTTGAGAGGGGTTATTATGAAAGTTCTCATTTAGTGTTCCATAACTGAGGAGTTCTTGTTACCTCACTACCCTTTGAGCTGCAGAAAAATCTTTAAATGTGTTAAAGTCCACTTCTAGGAGAAGAGAAAATACACATCTACTAGCCCAATTTGCAATGTTAGGTGGTTGTCCACTTTTCTCTAAGCAGGGTGGCTTTCAAAAGCTAGAGCATTAGAGCCACCCAGCGCCCACCGTTAGCTACACTAATTTCAGGGGGTTAAGGGGGAAACTTGTAGCACTTCCCAGGTGATTCTGATAATGCAGCAAGCTTAGAGGACACACAAGTAAATTTTTAACTAAAAGTAAGCAAAAAAAATACCAATATGGAACTGTTCCTTTCAATTATTATGATTTGTTCTTGAACAATTCTTTGTGTGTATGTGTCCTCTTGCTAATTTTGGACTTTAGCCCTTATAATACTGAGTCTAATTATAGCAGCATTTGTTACTTTATGACACTTGAAATAGCCAAGGACCTAATTGAATTTTACAGAATATTGAATCACTATGGATTATCTGATGCTAGTGGTATTCTACCTGTTTGGTACCCCTCAAAGAAGGTAGATATTAATAAGAATTTTTAATTGGTAATAAACCAGTTTGACTTTTGTGCTGCCGTGATATTCATTATATTGATTTTCCTATGCTGAAAATGTCCTAATGCTAAGATGTGGGGTTCATAACAAGAGAAAGAATCTGGTTTTGGATTGCTTCTGTCAAACTTCAGTACTCACAGTCTTGTTTTCATCCTTTCCTCCTGCTACTTCCTCCCAACCCCAACAGGATGTTGCTTCAGAGTGTGAAGTCAAATGTATGCCAACCTTCCAGTTTTTTAAAAAGGGACAAAAGGTATGTACAGCTGACCCTTAAGAGCTCTAATTGGCCAATCGGAAAACTAGTTTAAAAGAAGAGACAACTAAGGTGACTTATCATCCCTTCACAATGTGAGGCATGTCACCATTTTCTGCTTTTAATATTTAAGTATGTTATTCTGCATTGACTCTACATATCATGACATCTAATTAAAAATTGATCTTTGCTGGAACTTAATAAGTCCCTATGATTCATGGTTCCATATTGACATCATAAAGTGCATAAAATTTCTTAGACTTGAGCAATTCATTTGTCATTGTTGAGAGGTATTTGTGTAAAAAAAAAAGAAACAAAACATTGTACTTGAGCCTTTTGGCTTTTCTTGATGATTTTTGCTTTCTGTCTTTAACTTAACAGTATTGTATGTTATTTGGGAAAGGGTATTTTGAATAAGATTATACTTTATCTTCTTTCTACCCCCAGTCTTCCTTAATTCTGTCATATGTACAAAATAGTGATACAGTGCTACATCTAATGTCAATTCAATATTCTCTTGACAGGTAGGTGAATTTTCTGGAGCTAATAAGGAAAAGCTTGAAGCCACCATTAATGAACTACTCTAATTATGTTTTCTGAAACCATAACCAGCCGTTGGCTATTTAAAACTTGGAGTTTTTTTATTTACAAAATGTATGAAGTATGAAGACTATATAACCAACTGCCATCTGATTATAAAATGACAATAAAATATTAATTCTGCCCTTTTTAAAACTGTCTGGTGTCTGAATAGCTTTCAAAAGAAATGAGAAATGGTCATTTAAGGTCATAATTATTTTTATATATTCCCAACCACTTTTATTAACCTTCTTGGCCACTGAATATTTTGAGAATTTTGAAATTATCATTAATTACTACCTTAATGTATTTCTAGAAAAATTTTGTTGGAGATGATACAGGTAATAGAACAGTATGAGTAGTATATTAAATTTTTTTTTACCTTTATGACTAGAGAAAACAATATTTTGTCTTCTAGCAGATAAATCCATTATGCTGTCTGAATAGATGTTCACCCACGAAGGGCTTGTTTATTTTTAGTTCAGGATTCCTGCCTAACTAAGAAAGTCTAGTTTTATGTGCCAAATAAAGGCTCCAACCTTAGTTACTGTTGCAGAACTGTATTACCAATACAGAACAGTATCTAATGTACAGCACAGTGACTACAGTTTGTAGTATTGTTTATAAATTGGTTGAGATTGTATTGTTTATAAATTGGCTGAGAATAGATCTTCCTTTTTTTTTAACTTTTAATTTGTTTTAAAAGATGTGGGGTACAATTCAGGGTTAAATATACAAATGCTTATTATACAGGTACCCTTGTTGATGAGGTGTACTCCCCCCTCCCCAGGCAGACTCCCACTACTGCCAATCCCGCTTCCCTGCCCCCCTCCTGGCTGTTTCCCACTACTGCCAATCCTTTTCTTATAGTATTACGATAATTGTTCAAGGATCACTTATAAGTGAGAACATGTGATACTCAATTTTTTGTTTCTGAGAAAGATCACTCAGTATTATAGGCTCTAAATTCATCCAGGTTGCCGTGAAGTTCATGATTTTTTTCTTTATGGCTGCATGATATTCCATCGTGTATATGTTACCACATTTTTAAAATCCAGTTTTCTTTCAGTGGGGTGCACAGTTGGTTCCATATTTTTACTTGTAAATAATGTTGCAATAAACATGTATGTGCAAGTATCTTTTCCATAGAGTGATTTGAGTTCCTCTGGGTATATTCCCAGTAGGGGGATTGCAGGGTCGTATGGAAGATCAATGTTTAGATCTTTTAGGAATCACCACACTGTTTTCCAGAGGCTGGACTAGTTTACACTCCCATCAACAATGTTGAAGCATTCACCTTTCACCGCATCCTCTCCAGCATCTATTGTTTTTTGAGTTATTGATGATGACCATCCTGACTGGAGTTAGGTTGTATCTCAGTGTAGTTTTAATTTGCATTTCTTTGATGACTAGTGAGCCTGAGCATTTTTTTCATGTATCTGTTGGATGTTCATATGTCTTCTTTTGAGAACTGTCTATTCATATCTTTTGCCCACTTTGTAATGGGGCTGTTTGTTTTTTTTTTTTCGCCATGTTTGAGTTCCTTATAGATCCTAGATGTTAGGCCTTTGTCAGACATACAGTTGGCAAATATTTTTTCACAGTCCACAATAAATCTTAACACACACACACAAGTTTTGGTGACTGTTCCAATGAGCTTTATGTGATCATTACATAGTGCATCAGATATCAAATCACACAAATTGAAGATATACAGTTTTTATTTGTCAATCATACCTCACCAAAGCTGGGGACTTTTTTTTTTTGGAGTTGAGGTCTTACTCTGTCACCCAGGCTGGAATGCAGTGGTACAATCATGGCTTACTGCACCCTCCACCTCCTGGGCGCCAGCAGTCCTTCTGCCTTGCTTCCCAAGTAGCTGGGACTACAGGCACATGCCACCACTTTCAGCTAATTCTTTGATTTTTTTTTTTTCAGAGATGGAGTCTTGCTATGTTGCTCAGGGTGGTCTTGAACTCCTATACCCAAGCAGTCCTCCCACCTCAGCCTCCCAATGTGCTGAGATTACAGGCATGAGCCACCATTCCTGACCTAGGAGTTTAAAATAATAAAAAAATAGAAAAAACAACATTCAGAGCACAATGGAAAAGATCGATCACGGCTAGAAAGAAAGACATTTCCTCCACCATAACCGGTGGGATGAAGATGTGTGCAAATGTAGACCAGTTTGTCAGTTTAGGAATAGGAAATGGAATTTCTATCTGATGGTTTCTATTTTCTAAGATGGGGGTGGGAGGAGAGCAAGGAGGCAATTTTGAGGCCAAAGTATGAAATAGTTCTCTTCAAAATGGGGGAAGCAAAGCCTGGTTGCTGGGCACAGTCGCTTGCCCATGTGAGGTATGTTAGGACTTCAGAGCCCTGCTATGTGCTGTTCCAGCTGCATGCAGCTGCCCGTGCAGGCACCCAGAGGTGGAGTTTGGAAGCAGGATTGGGTCTTGTAGGTGAGTCCAGGAGAGAGGGGGATACAAAGAAGCTGGCAGTACTTTCAAGGAATTGATTATCCCAAAGCAGGATAGACTCAAGGCTGGACAAATAGAGGAGAAACCAGGACAAGGCTGGAGATCAGAGAGAGGCCTTGACAAAGTCAAAGAAAGGTGGCAGTGGGGGTAACTGAGCAAACTGCAGGGATAGGAGGTGGTGGGCAGAATGAGACTTAAAAGCAGGTTTGAGAGGTAATGCAGTTTGCAGGGAAGACAAAGACTAGGGTAACCATGAAAGGGTGGTGAGGTGGAGAAAAGGAAGGTGGTTGGAACTCAGCAGGTCAAGGATTTGAAGCCAGGGGTTTGGATGGGTTGCTGGAAAAGAACATGAGAATAGGGACAGAAGTCTGAGGTGAACCATCTTCAGCGAGTTAAGGGGTTGGGAGCAAATGGTGTGATAAAGAGGGTAGGAAGTTGGTGTGACCTCATGAATGAGTTTCAGAGGAGTAGATGGTTTTGCAGGAAGAAAAAGTGGTTTGTAAGGGGTAATGAAGGGTAGGTAAAAAACCCAATCACCTCCTGACTTGAGTATGTGGAGTGTAAAATATAAAAGAGTCCTTCGGAGATTTCTGTTAAGAAAGGTGGTGACGTTCCAAGAACACAATGAGGATACAGAGAGGGATCCTGATCCAAAAAAGATTCCAGCAGGTACCATGAACGAGACTGGGAGGAAGAGACAGAGTGGGGAGGATTTAGTCAGATTAAGGCATGGTGCTAAATCTTAGTCACACTTGGAACCAATCAGGGAGCTATGGAAAAGAAGTGATGCTGGGGTGCCACCCCCCAGAGATCTTGTTTTAACTGTTTTTGAGTGTTGCCTGGATACTTCAGACAATCTAATATGCAGCCAAGGCTGAGAACCACCAGCAAATGGGATAATGGATGACCAGTTAAGATTTGGACTTCCGGCATTGATTGTGGTCAACAGGCTTGAGACATGACGAAATTCATTCTGATAAGTCTCAGCGTGAGATAGACAAACGTGCTAATGGTTGCAGAAGGTAGTTAACAGATATATTTCTTTTTCCCACTTCAAAAGCCTTTTAAGAGATAAACACAAATATCATGCTCTTTCTTCTCTCCATTCATGTAATTGTATGACTCTTTCCTGCCAACCTCCAAAAACTTCACAGTTGCTAAACTTGGCTGCTGTCTTACAGAACAAGTGTTTAGAGTAGATGCTTCATAACTTGAATTGATTGCTAGCTATTTAAAGTATTAAAGAGGCCGGGCTCGGTGGCTCAGCCTGTAATCCCAGCACCTTGGGCGGCCGAGGCGAGTGGATTGCCTGAGCCCTCAGGTTCGAGACCCACCCGGGCAGCTTGGTGAGACCTCGTCTCTACAATAAATCAAAAATTAACTGGGCATGGTAGCACGTGCCTGTAGTTTCGGCTACTTGGAAGGCTAACGCAGAAGGATCACTGGAGCCCAGCAAGTAGAGGCTGCGGTGACCGGGAGCATGCCACACTGCACTTCAGTCTGGGTGACAGAGTTATAGACTCCAACTCAAAAATAAAAATAAAGTATTAAAGATGTTAGCATGGCCTAAAGACTTCACTTTATAAAAATCTCAGTAACTGGACAGAACAATTAAATGTCACATAAATTCTGTTGTCTCCAAGTGGATTTCTAATAAACCGAAAACAGTTCATAGTAAACACTTTTTCACTTGTGTCTCAATTTATATAACAGCGAAGATCAATACAGATTATAGTTCCATGGGTTTTAGAATAATGTTAGTCATGAAAAGAAGGCAAATATAGCGTTCCATTATACAGATATACCAAAACGTATAGTATAGCACCCTGCCCTGTGGTGCTGTACTACACTGAATTCATGATCATCCAGGGAATTCCAGAAGCATGAGTTTAGCAGCAGGGTGATTTCTTTGGAGAAAAGCTACCTTCTTTGGAGGAATCTTACAGCTAGAATGTGAAGCAGAGCAGTAGATGAGAGGCAAGAGAAGACTGGAGTCTTGAAAGCCGTGGAAATAATTTGGCCTCCAGCTCCCTACATCACAATGTGTTTTATGTCATGGCACACAAAGAAAATAATATTCAAACAGCCCCCAGGTTAAAGTGGAAAGAATTTGGGGACATCTATGTGTGTGTAAGTGACTTTTTTTACTTTTTTTGATCCTTTTGTAGTTCACAAGCCTAATGACTGGATATTCCTGCTCCTGAGTGAGATGTGCCTCCCTCAGGCCTTGTTGGTACACGGTTGGCACATTGCCTGTCTGGTGTGAAAAAATAAATGAAAAAATAATACTTTAATTTTAAATCCTTTTAATACAAGAAGCAAATACAAACTATTAAGGAGGCTATTAAATATTGAATTGTATAAAACTTCCACCAAATAGCTCCTCTGATTTTTTAATGTGGAACTTCAAGCTTACCTCCACGAACATAACTTCTTTAAAATTACTTAATTGTGAAATACAGAATGTATAAAACACATGCACAATTTTACTTTATTTTTTAATTATCCCCCAAGTATCTTTCACCCAACTTATTTATTTATTCATTCATTTTTGAGTTGGAGTCTCACTCCGTTGCCCAGGCTGGAGTGCAGTGACACACTTGTGGTCACTCAGCTTCAACCCGCTGGGCTTTGGCGATCCTTCCGCCTCAGCCTTCCAAGTAGACAGAACTA